CCATGGGACTCGGTCCTCTTCTCTACCCTGAACTCTCCTGTGATCCCTCTGCACACCCCTTGGATCCTGTCACTGATTAGAAGGAGGAGGGAGACACGGAGACAACCGAGGACCTCCGCTGTGACCTATTGGACGAAACCATCGACAAATCTTGGCCTTTTCAAGCGGCCGGGATTCGTGCAGTCTTGCTGGGACTGCAAGAGTACCCTTTGGTTTTCAGGGTTTATAGAGGACCCTTAACATTGGCTCTCAGACCTGATGACAGGCCAGACGATGTAAAAGCGACTGCACAAGAAGGCGGCTGGGAAGCGCCCTGGAAGCTCACCACATGGGCCTCCCTAATAAAAAAGGTTATCCAGAATCAGTTCATCCCGCTGATAGACCTCCCAACTATCCCTCGTTAGGAGAGGGTTAGAATGCCTGACCTGTACTACTACACCACCAACATTGATGTTTGGTGTCCGAGGAGCTCGCCCCAAGCAAAAGGTTGCAACATACACTGTCACTTCTGAGGCGTGGAATCGGCAAGGAGTTCTAAAGTTTCCCGGGAGCGTGGCTCAGAGAACTCCAATTCCCATCCGATTCCACTTACAAAGTGCAGGTCACAGTTCAAATGGTGATTGTCCCCCTTAAAGGGGTTTGTTCCATTGGAGCCACGATCACTGTTTATGGACGACATGGTGAGGTGGTCAACATAGCCGAGGCTCCCGCCCCACTAACTCACCGCCACTCTGGCTTCCTCTTTAGAGCCCTAACCCGCGTCCCCTCGCGGTTGCGCAGGGTGAAGAGCGAGACAGAATAAATTAATGGTGCTCCAGTGAGACGTATGGTTTCCTCTTCATTCGACTTATGATGTATTTTTCTCTTTCCTTGGGATTGGCTGTGTTGTTCTGTTAAAGATCAATTTTCAGTCCTCACGGGGCTATGCATGAGGAATGGCTAAACTTTACCTTCCCATGGATATGGATCAAAGAGGATGTCGTCCACAATGAAGGAGATTTCCTGGAAGGATCTACTAGGAACCGGGGAGTGCTTAAGGGCCCCTACCGGTCACACATGTATGTCCAAAAATTGCCCACTGTCCAGGAGTTAAAATCAGCACCCAAAGGAGATTTTGGCAAAATAGACAAATGTGTTGCTAGAAGAATTTTCCTCAGCCTCAATGACTGTGAATGGGAAGGACATGGGGCCTCCCCTAGATGTAAACTGTGGCAGGTTGATATCTCCTTTGTGTCATCATGGAGGTATGACTGCACAGGCATCTTGAAGTAAAACAGCACCAAAGAATTGCTGCACGGATGGATTGAAGGACACAGTAGAAACAAACTCTGGACATGGTGGGGGTTTCAAAGAGAAGAAATGGAACATTGGGTGATCCCCTGCCTGTCCCAATCCAAATATTATTGGGTAAGCAGTATATAGCAACGGTGTACTCAAAAGAGCATGACATATGGTCCTCTATAATTTGCAGACCAGACAGGTATGTCAGCCCAAGGCCATGGAAATTGACCTGTACCAGAAGTGGGCAAGTTTGCATAGTAAGTCTGGCACGAAGATCCTGCAGTTAACTACCAGGCTGGGAAAGTTACTGTGAAAGTTTTTATGCAAACGAGTATCATACTCATGAAGCTGCAACATTATGGACCAAGACGCGACCAACAAAGTATCATAAACTGATATCAAACGCAACGAACACATGGCATCGAGCCATGGCCCGCGATCACTGTGCTCATGCCATCATAGGGCCTCATATGAAGCCCCGGAAGAGTATTGCTGGTGAAATTATCCCCAGTTCCCGACACTATGATCATGACAGCTGAGAGTCACGCCTTCAGAAGAGGGCTGTGCTTAGGCCTCGAAAAGGAAGGATTTGAGTGGGTAGGTCCAAACCTACTCTATTCTAACCTCACATGCAAATACCCAGAAGAACTTTGGAAGAAATGTGGCCCTGACTCCGACAAACACACCTGTGCATGGTATGAAATCCTGCACACAATGGCCCTCAGAGAGGTAAAAACCCTGGCAAATGGAGCCATTGAAATTGTCGTCAAAGGAGCAGGAGCAGTTGAAGAGGGTATGGTGGAGTTGTTGGAAAAGATTTGGCCGTACTGCCTGACGGTCATTGGCATCTTGTTTGCTGCTGTCCTGGCACGCCTGGCTCTAAGGGAATTGTGTCTCAGAGCCCTGCCACCAAGGAGGGATGAGTATAAGCCCCTTCCCCAAGATAGAGTAAACTGATCCTATTTAAAGCTGAGGGCAAAAAATCTCAGTACACAGTATCGCTATCTCTTTCCTTAATGCTGCAGAAATGCTACAAATGAAGATTATTATGGGAAAGAGAAAATGGGGGCAAGGAGCTCCGAAGATCAGGGTGGAAATAGATCCAACCTGTCCTGAAGAAATTCTAATTTTGGAATATCACATTGGTCCTTACTGGTTCAACAGAAGATATCGAATGTCTTCCAGGAGAAATTTGTTGAAAACGACGGCAGGGACAATGAGAATAATCACCGCAAATCAAGAATCATTCTTCTATGAAATAAGAGGCCACCATTTTTAAAGTTGACTTGTAAGGCCAAAGGCTTACAAAGGTAACMCCCCCCCCCCCCCCGAGGGAGAGCAATGGCACTACGTAAAACCAGAAACCCAGAAGCCAGGAGGATACTTGAACCCATCCAACAATGTGGGAAGATTAAGATTCCAATAAGGCAGAGTCATTGGCACCCTGACCCAACCTGGATATTCAAAAACTTTAAAATATTTGTAGAATTCAAATTCAAAAATACTTTGTTGATCCCAGAGGGAAATTAGGTAAGAAGTACACACATCTTAGAGAGCAAATGTCTTGTTTGTGGAGCACCCTAGGAGATTCCTCGCAAAACATGCATGGCAACTTCGGCGTTTGTTCCCTTATAATTTTGGTGTGGATGATTGGGACGAACTTTTGGAATTAACTATACAACATTGTACAGACTGCGGGAAGAGCTTAAGGGAGTTCCCATATCTTTGGGAATATTTCGGGGTTGCATGGTGCACTCCACGCTACACCTCCTACTTTGGAATCCTGTGGCTACGGCCATCATACTAAGGGATGGGATCCAAAGCTGCCCCCGAGCCGACTTCTCCCAGAGCCTCATGCTGCACAAGGACGGACAACTGGTCCACTGTGCTCTGCAGAACCTGAACCTCCCTGAACCCTTTGTACCTGTCAATGTTCACCAGGCATGTACCACCCCCCTCATCCAGAAGACCTGGAAATCTCTCTCCACTAATCGCAAGTATATCAGCCTTCATAATCCTAATTATGCGTTAGTGGATCTACATGGCAGCCAACCTGCTGAAGAAGTGAGAACCGTGCAACAGGCTGTGACTGATCCATCACGCCAGCACATCCTGCCAGGCGCATCCCGATTCTATGACTGATCCTGCTCCTCAGGACATGTCATCACTGCAAGATACCCTCCATGACCCTGACCTTTTGCCTGGCTGGATAATGAGCCTAAGGATGTGCTGCTTCACGACCCTGTACCAGCTCTGGAGACTATCATTTTGGATCCACCAACCCCAAGGTACAGCCCATCCATGCCGGATCTCACCCCTACACGGTCTCAGCCGGTGGCAGAACCATCTGCTGCAGACAATGCAGACCTCCCGTCCGACCAGGCCCCTACTGACCTGCTGACCCTCTCCCCTGGCCCATCTGATTTTGATCTCGAGCTGGCAGCTCCACGCCCTCCTTTGTCTGGTACTATAGACACCCCGCATCCTCAGCGTGTGGAAGAAAGCCRACCCTCTTCTTCTATCGAGGCATGGTTGGGCCCGCCAGTTGCAGAAGAGAACGTTAAAAAATCGATCCCCGCCAGCCCCCTCCACCTCTTACCAGCGGAGAGAGACCAGTGCTGGCCGAACCTCATATGGAGCCGCGGTAGACAGGGTGGTGAAAACCTGGCATCAGCCTAAGGACGAGGAGTATGACAAAAGATACCGTCCAAACAAGATGGGACCTCCCAAGACCAACACCCACTTCACTCAGCCAAGACCCGCTGCGCCTCGTCCCCATTACCCACCCTATGTCCCAGCCAAGATCCAACCACTGATACCCCTTGCTCTTCTTTCTTGGGCTCCTAGGCCTGATTCCAAGGAGAGGGTGTCAAGAAACCTGGCTACAACAACCATTCCAAAAGTCGGAATCAGGCCAGCAGAGCCTCCTTTTGACCCCCAACAGAGAAGAGGATCTTACARTACGCATGGTTGATTGCGCCACGATGCTTCAACCACACCTTCCAGTGAAACCACTCAAAACCACCAAGTATCGTCAAAAACCATGTAAGAGGGGTCTAGGAGGGCTGAAAACCACAAAATCAACTTAAAAACACAAATTAATCAAAAACCATGTGTGATGGGCCTAGGAGGACTGAAATCCACCTAAAACCAGCCAAAACCATCAAAGACCATGTGAAACGGACCTAGGAGGGCTGAAAACCACATGAAACCACTTAAAACCAACAAAAAAAACCATATGAAACTGGTGTGGTAGGGCTGAAAACTACTCAAAACCACTAAAGACCATCAAAAATCATGTGAAATGGGCCAAAGGGGGCTGAAAACCATCTACAACCACTCAAAACTACAAAAAAACATGTGAAAGGGGTGTAGGAGAGCTGAAAACTACTTAAAACCACTCAAAACTAAACACCAAAAACCATGTGAAACAGGCATAGGAGGGCTAAAAACCACTAAAAAGCACCAAAAACCATGTGACACTAGTCTAGGTGGGGCTGAAAACCACTAAAATCAACTCAAAACCACCAAAAACCATGAGAAACTGGTGTAGGAGGGCTGAGAGCTACTCAAAACCACTAAAGATCATCAAAAGTCATGTGGAACGGGCCAAAGAAGGCTGAAAACCATCTACAACCACTCAAAATTACCAAAAACCATGTGAAACTGGTGTAGGGAGTAGAGATGCAATGATCCGATACAGTATCGGTATCGGTTCCGATATTTAAAAAACTTCTAGATCGGGTATCGGTGGCAATGAACCCGATCCATACCAATGCTAAGGTCCGCGAGAGACGTGACGTCATGCGCCAGCGACACGCWGTGCAGTGGCACGTGCAGTTTTCAAAATGGAGCGAACGAAAGGATCAGCCATCTGGAGCTTTTTTACTTTACCTCACCCAACACATCCGACGGYTACGTGCAATACATGCGCAGTGATTGTTCCAAGGGGCGGAAGTAAAGCTTCAAGCTACAACACAACCAACTTAATCAAGCATCTCCAGCGATTTCACCCGAAAGAGCACGCGGAGTTTGTTGAACGGAGTCAACAAAAAGGAGACGGCATGAAGCAACTGACTTTGAAGGAGATGAAGGAAAGAGGTGAAAAGTTTCCACCTAATAGTGTGCAGGCAACAAAAATCACAGAGCGGATACTAAACTTTATTGTCATGGATGGACAGCCGCTCTCAGTTGTTGGAGATAAAGGATTCCGGCTGCTAATTAACCAGCTAGAGCCGCGCTACGAGATGGTGAGCAGAAAATATTTGTCAGAAACGGCTCTACCTGAACTGCATGGTAAAGTGTGCAAACGCATATTAGAGGAGATAAAAGATGTTAAAGCCATGAGTTTCACGACAGACATCTGGAGCTCTGATGTCTCCCYCGTGTCACTTTTAAGTTTAACAGCACACTGGCTGGATGAGAGTTTTGTGCCATACAGCGCAATGTTGAACGCAACAAACTTTCGTGGGTCACACACCAGCGAAGCGATAGCAGCYAGCCTGAAGGAAATGTTTGACAAGTGGCAAATTCCGTTGAGCAAAATTCACGTGATTGTGAGGGACAACGCCAGCAACATGAGAAAGGAGATGGACAACATGGGGGTGCGTAGTGTCGGCTGTGTTGCCCATACAATGCAGCTAGTAGTCAACGAGGGTCTTCTATCTCAGCGTGCAGTGAGTGACGCGGTTGCATGTGCGAGGCAGGTTGTCGGACACTTTAAACATTCTCCTCTAGCATACTCACGACTGCAAGATATCCAGCTGGAGATGAACATGCAACCGAAACGCCTGCAGCAGGATGTTAAAACGAGGTGGAATAGTACATATTACATGGTACAGAGCCTGACTGAACAGAAACGAGCACTGTCTGCTTATTCTGCTGACCATGAGCTGCCCTCAGTACCCACAGCAAACCAGTGGGGCTTGTTTGAGAAAATAATGACCTGTCTTGAACCGTTCGAGGAGTTTACAAGGAAGGTGAGCACAGCCACAGCCTCCACTGCTGATGTCATCCCAAGTGTCACCGTTATCAAACGCCTCCTGTCTATGGAAACTGAGGCTGACGCTGGAGTTAAAACCAAGAAAAAGACGCTCCTAGCAGCTGTGGAGAAGCGCTTCAGCACCGTGGAAGAGGATCCTCTGTTTGCACTTTCTACACTGCTGGACCCACGATACAAGGACAGGTGAGACATACTTCAAAACAGGTTTTGGTCAATAAATTAATATTTTAGTGAAACATTTTAATGTTTTTGTAAGATTTTTTTATTTTGTACACACTGTTTAATTAAATTTCATTCATAATAACAACAAAGTCAATTAAWAAATGAAGTAAAAGTGAATTAAAAACGTGTAGAAACACTAAAAGAAATTGTATATCTGCCCCTTTAGATGCACTTATTCTTGAAATTTWAAAGATAAGTGCACATCTGACTTTTTTGTTTCAATATTAATTTGTTGAGTCTAAAACTGAACCCTATGTATTTTATCTTTTCAGATTTTTCACCAGTGCAGACTCTGCCAAACAGGGGAAAGATGCACTAGATAAGGAGCTGGAGGAAGACTTGAGAAACCAACACTGATGGAGCATCCAAGGCTTTGGAGCCACCAGGGAGGGGCCCCCCGAGTGGAAGCAGCAGCAGCAGCAGCAGCTGCAGCAGCAGCAGCAGCAGCAGCAGCAGCAGCA